GTGCTGGGCGCCAGGAGAAGGCGCGACGACACCTCGAAGCTGAACCAGGCGATGCAGAAATACTCCAGGCGTCGCAGCACCGGGTCATCGCGCGCATCCTCGGCGCTGCGCCCTGCAGCCACTGCGGCCACCGCGGCCGCCGCCTCGCGGGCCTGGTACTCGGGTAGGCTGTGGATGCACATGGCAGCGATGGAGGCGAGCACCACGCCGATGGAGACGCAGCTGAAGAGCTTACTGGGCAGCGAGTAGCCCGGGTTCTCCATGGTGAGCCACAGGCGGCGGCGCAGACGACCGCAGCGCTCAGCCCCGTAGCGCGCCAGCTCGCGCTGCACGTCGGAGATCTCATCCGGGCACGGGTCCACGCTGCTCGGCGTGTCGCTGTCCTCGTCCCAGGCGCGAGGTCGTGCCACGCGCCGCTCCAGGTAGCGCGCGCGGCAGCACGTGGCCAGCGTGTTCTCGCCCAGGCCCCAGTAGTCGGCCTCCTGGCCGAAGGCGAAGACGCACAGCTCGTCCAGCACGTGCAAGTGGCCGGTGCGGTAGAAGTGCAACAAGCCCAGGAAGAAGCCCGGGTGCCGGTCGAAGTAGAACTCGCGCGTCGCCGCGTCGTAGTCATCGCACAGGCGCCGCGCCTGCTCCTCCGACGCTGCGGCCTGCAGGCGGCCCAGCCGCGTGCCCGGGAAGCGCGCCAGGGCGCGCGCGCTCAGCAGCCGCCGCACTCCGCCCACATTCACGCGCAGCGCCTCGTCCCTCCGCCGCCGGAGAACCCCAGCGCCCGGCCCCGGGGAATCGCTCACCATGGCTACAGTGCACCGCCCTGCGGACACCAGAGGGGGCGCGCTGAGGGCTGCCCAGGGAGACGGGGTTAAAACCCCCTGCTCCATCCGCCAGTCAGAGTGCTGGCCACTGTGTGAAGCGCCAGGTATACAGTAGGCGCCCAGGTGCCAAATGTCCCCTGGACTCCAGTCAGGCCTGGGTCTCCAGACTGAGTGATTTTGGCCAAATCACCGATCCTCCCCACTCCCAGTTCATTTCCTCCAGGGTACAGCAAATCAGAGCCCTACCTTAAAGGACTATGGCGGTGATGGGCTGGCGGGATGGCCTGGTGTCTGCTGGGTGCACGTGCAGGATGCTCCTTTTCCTGGACAAGCTTGGATTTAGGAGGAAACCAGAGGTCTACGGTGGGCTCCTGGACAGCCAGTACTCCAAATCTCAGTTTCTTCCCCCGTAAATTCAGGGCAGTAAGGCTTCATATCTAGGGATATTAGGAAAATCAGCGCAGGTCCATGGTTCTCAGTGTGTTCTCTGGGCTAGCAGTGCCCTCATCACAGAAAGCTGTCAAAGATGGAGATTCTCA